TGTCTAATAATTTTCTCTTATTTAAAGTACCAAACAACTACTTTTGAGGCCAATTTAAAAAAATACCAGTGGTGGCCTCAAACTTTTGAACTCTAGTGTGTGTATATATATATATATATATATACCGTTCAAAATATATCGAAATATTTTTTCTATTTTAAACATTTATATATATATATATAATTTATTCGAAAATTATAACATAAAATGTTATAAATCAGTAAAAAAATAGCCATTTTGTTTCAACGCTCAATTGTCTTATCAAGTGATGGTGTTGAATGTAGAATATACATTCATCACTTGATAAGACACAGAAGTGTTGAAACAAAATGTTTATTTTTGTAGTGATTTTATAACATTTTTATGTTATAATTTTCGAATAAATAATTATTTTGCCTTTACTCTGTATTGAGCACTCTTTTAAGAATTGTATTTGTTGGTTATTGGAATTTATTCTATATACCAATCCTATATTATATGTGTATGTGTATGTATATATATATATGTGTGGATATATATATATATATATATATATATATATATATGTATATATATATGTGTGTGTGTGTATATATATATATGTGTGTGTGTGTATATATATATGTGTGTGTGTGTGTATATATATATATATATATATATATGTATATGTATATATATATATGTGTGTATATGTATATATATATGTGTGTGTATGTATATATATATATATATATATATATATATATATATATATATATATATATATATATATATATGTGTGTGTGTGTGTGTGTGTGTGTGTGTGTGTGTGTGTGTGTGTGGTGTATAAGAGAGGAGAGTGACGTACTGCTACGTGAAAAGCAAACAAATCCAGGAAATATATAAGAAAATTTTTGAGAAAATATTCTTCATATGTTTTACTGATGATTGCTTTTTTTTGGTTCTTTTCGATGCCGGCTAAACATGTCAAATTAAATTATTTTCTAATTTTTATATATATATATATATATATATATATATATAGAGAGAGAGAGAGAGAGAGACTTAGAAAAAATATATGTTTGTGAGTGTGTGTGCTTGTGTGTGGATTGTTGTTTGATATAACTTATTCCGCACTTATGTCTCAGATTAAATTTCTTTTTCCCTCACGTATAAAACAAATGCCCGTATGTGCGTAATTGCCTCCAACTAATTTGTCTACCTTCTCGGCCTCATCGACTCGAAGAGTTTCCAAGTATTGTAAGTTAAGTGTTACCGTTTTCCGTTAGTTAAATTCTTTATGCAATCAGTTCCAGGTGAGGATGGCTTGTAATTAGGAGATTTTATATCTTGTAAAGCACGGATGGTGTCAAAAAAGTTGTGACGACACTTGCATCTAAGAAAGGACAAGAAAAATTGGTTCCTCGAACAGATCTCCTTTCTTCTTCTATATGAAGAGTCTTTTCAGGACGTAGGCGATCATAGCACTCCATAACTTCCAGTCTTTTGTAACCCTTAGTAAAGTTTTTTCTGTAAGAGGTACAAAATCGGGAAACTGTAAATAGTTTTCACGCACAGACTGACTTTGCTGTGATGTTATGGTTAAAAAGCATGGAAGGGTGTCCCTGCGCGTACCTCTGGTGGGCAACCCCGAGGCCATTTTATATTGCAGTCTGCGCCAGCTCCTTTCTGTCCATGTCACATGATGACTTTCTGCTGCTATTACTTTAGGCCATTTCGCTATCAACATGACTGAAAATGACCTTAAACCACCATAGATATAAACGTAAACCAGCTCTAAAAAAAATCGCCTAAACCTTTCAAAATTTCCGTTTCTAACATCCAACTTTCGATCCAACTTCTGTAGTGTTGAATCGTTCCTCTTTAAAAAAAGTCACCTGATATACTAGCTCCCCGCGAGACCAACCTTAACCCATCAATCCCCTCCTCTGGTTTCACGATCCCCGGTTACCTCCCTTTCCTTCAGAAAGGACCCTAAAATCCACATGCATGGCCTGGGAGTTTACGCTCGAGACCATTTCTCACTGGCTAGGTGTTGTGGGGCTCTCCCCTTTTTACATAAGATGGACTCGTCCAAAGTATACTTATACCGACAGAGAGAATAGCTACATGTTGAGATACGTAGAGATACGTTGAGATACGTAGAGATACGTGGAGGGTGTTCTCAGAGAGTTATACAAGAGTCCAAAGAGAGAGATGATTACGGCTTTACTTACAGAGACTTGTACATATACTTTCTACTAACCCGCATTCCTGGACTACTAATCTTCACTTCAAGTCGGTATTCTTACGTTTAAGTCACGTATTTTTTTATCTCAATTTATGGCGTTGTTTATTGATTTGTGCAGGATTCCATTCACGGAATCCACAACACTAGGGAACTCTCTCGTTAATCTCTTGACCATCCCTATATATGTTTCCGTCAATCTCTCTTCAATTCAGTAAGCTATGTCTTCTTTCTCTACCGTTCGCCTTCCTCTCAAAATTCTGTTGCACTCGATAGCATTTTAGACGATATAGACAAGGCCATCTCTCTACATCCGTTTGTACATATATTTTGTGTTCAGTGACTTTAATTCTTACAATACCACGTGGCTTAAAAACTCTCTAACTGACATGGCTGGCATACAAACCCTTCACTTTTCAATCACTCAATTCCTCGCACAAATGGTTGACTTTCCAACGCGTTTCTCCAGTAACGCTGACGGTAAGGCTTCCCTTCTCGATTTCTGTTTTTACCTCCATCTTCGACTCCTGTCGCGTCACCCAGTTCTGCTCTCTTGGCAACTCTGATCATGTTGTAGTGTCTGTCAACATCTCCTTCTACACCTCCCCCAGCAAAGAAACTCCTACTAACAGAACATCTTTGTTATCAACGCGCAGACTGGGACTCATTCCGTCATTTCCATCGTGATGTCGCCTAAAGTGTAGTTTTTAATCTCCCTGTTCAAAAATGCGTCGGAGGTCTCCTCCTGGGTTAAAGCTGGAATTGTGGCTTTCATCCCAGCAAGAAAATACAAAGTTAAATCGCGCTCATCTTGCTTCACAACCGCTTGCTCAGCTGCTATTTCCCATAGGAATCACTTCTTCCGTCTGTACCGAAGTGACATCTCTGATCGCAACAGACGTCACTTTGTCTCTGCTCGTAATGAGTGCAAGCGTGTCCTCAATGAAGCAAAGCTACTTTCTGTTGGAACAATCAAACAATTTCTTGCATTTCGAGAGTTTGCTTCTATAAAGTATTGGCGGCTCTGCAAGAGCGTGTGGAACAATAGCAAATCCTCAATACCTCCACTATTCAATCAATTTGAGGTACTGACTTCCTTAGCTGATAAGGCTAAATGCTTTGCTCGGAAATTCACATTGAATTCAATGTTCGACTCATCTGGAGTACCCAGACATGATTTCCCCTTAGAAATGGAGCTCTGGTGAGTGGCATAACCCTAACATCGATGGTTTTGGACAAATTTGACCCCTACTAGCGAGGACGGGATACCAGCCATTGTCCTGAAAAAATGTGCTCCTGAACTGGCACCAATCCTCTCCAATCTTTATAAATATTGCCTCACTGGCTCTTGATTTCCAACCTGTTGGAAGTCCTCTTCCGTTGTTCCTGTATTCAAGAACTCTGGTGACTCTTCCGACCTAACTACCGTCATATCGGTCTCCTACCCCTCTTTAGCAAAATCTTCGAGGCTTTAGTCAACGCTTAAGTGGTCAAGCACCTTACACCCCATGATCTGCTCTCAGACAATTAATATGGTTTCCGCTTTGCCCTATCCACTGCTGACGTGAAAACGACCATGAGTGACTTATATACCAACTTAACAATAACGGAGACGCTCCAGCCGTAGCTTTAGATATCTCTAAAGTGTTTGACACGGTCTGGTACGCTGGTCTTCTTCGTAAGCTTCCGGGATACGGATAGGACAATTATTTGAAATCATTTCTGTCAAACCGTGAAATGAAGGTCGTTCGAAACGGATTTCGTTCCAGTTCCTTTCACACAAACGCTGGCGTTCCCCAAGGCTCTATCCTTCTGATCTTCATCAACGATCACCCTGATGTCATCAACTCCCAAGTTGACATCTCAAGTTGACATCTACGCTGACGACACTACTATTTACTCCTTCCTTAATAGTAGATCCGGCATCGTTGACAAAATTAACCTGGACGTAGAAGGGTCTTCAATCTGTAGTTGACTGGAGCAGGAAATGGCTTGTAAACTTTAATGCCTTTAAAACTAAACTTCTCTCATTTACCCACCAAAGAGGATCCCATTAGGATGGCTGATGCTCAACTCCACGGGAGCGCCTCTCTCCACCTACTTAGTCTCACGCTGACCACTGACCTCTAGTGGAACAACTACATTGATCTATAGCTTCATCTACCCCAAGGAAAGTTGGTTCTCTGTGTCGCGCCAGAAGGTTATTCTCGCCGGAGTCCACCCTTCAATTCTACAAATCAACCATTCGTCCTTGCATGGAATACAGCTGCCATACATAGCCTGGTGCCCCGGCTGTTCACCCCGAGATCCTAGAGAAAATTCAGAGGCGAATATGCAACGTGGTTGGTCCTGATCTGGCATCTCGTCTGCAGTCGCTATCTCATAGACGTGCCGTGGCTTCCCTCCGCCTTTTCTATAAGTACTTCCATGGCAACTGCACCGACGAGCTACTTTCACTGGTTCCCAAACTGCATAAATTTAAACGCGCTACTAGGTTGGCATCTCGGTCCCACCCTTTCACTGTCGAAAAGACTAAATGTAGCCATCTCTTTAACAGCTTCTTATCCTGCACCTCCGGTCAGTGGAACTCCCTTCCTAGCACTTGCTTCCCTGATAGCTATAATCTTTAAATATTCAAATGTAATGTCAATTGACATTTTCTGATGCCTTGACCTTGATCCATGGCCTTCTCTTTATCCTTTTCCCAAACACCCCCTCTTTACTCTTACTCTCACTTTCTGTAACCCCTTGCGAGCTAGTGGCACTCCTGCCTTGCTTGGGGCGAATTACTTATTCAAAAAATAGATAGATAGATAGATAGATATGAACCGACTGAAATAGATAGATATGAACCGACTGAGATAGATAGATAGATGAATAGATTCGTAAGTATAGTCGAACTCACTTGGTCCACGTCTCAACAACCGGTTCCCACCCAAGGCTATAGAAACCAGTCTCTCCTCCTATTTACTCATAGCTGGGAGCTGGAGAGGAGAGATGGATTCATACCTTTCCCAAGCACGTAATTAACTCGACTGGAATTTGAACTCGCCTCTCCGATCCTTCCAACCAAGCCGCTAGCCATTACTTCACCCTGCCCATGTCTATCTGTCCGCCAGTCGCTTTCTTTCTTTCTTTCTTTCTTTCTCACTCTCTCTCTCTCTCTCTCTCTATATATATATATATATATATATATGTGTGTGTGTGTGTGTATAAATTATAAGCACTCACAATAGCAAGATCATTAAAGAATTTCACACTAACCAATTGCAAAAGGATTTTAATGTTAACCAATTACTAAAAGAAACTTTAATTGCAGTATACTAAGCCACAATTTCCCCCAAGGAAAATGTAAAACAAAATAAAAGATATATACAGGAATATCTGCTGGAAATGGGAAACAGCGTTTTTACAACTATCGCCATTCCTTTACAAATGAATCCCAATGACTCCAAACAGCACTATCGAAACACTATTGGGATTTAGTAGGAAACGGCTTCACTCCACAAGTGAAATGGAGAATCATTTCTAGGGCTCGAACTCCAAGGAATTTCAGAGACCGATCTGACCTATGTATTAAAAGAAGATCCTAATAATAAAGCATAAAGATCCTGATGAGTTACTAAATCAACACAATGAGCTGATCTTTAAATGCAGACACAAAAATCATCTCACTATAACTCAATAGACTTTTAAAAAATCACTATCATTTTTCATATAATATATATGCAGTTGTATATCGACATAAGTACATTAATATACATTCTTACCTTTAGGCTATGACTTATAGGTTTCCATATGATATTTGCAGACGTCTACATATTTTGGTATATATATATATATATATATATATATGTGTGTGTGTGTGTGTGTGTGTGTGTGTAGATATTTGTACACAATGGTAAACATTGGACTGTGTTTAGATGTGAGGATGTTTGCATGCACACATGTATGCGGGTACATATTTTTATGTATAAAATGTGTATATGGGCTTGTATATTAATATGTGGATAAATGGGTATATGTATATGCATCTGTATATACCTGTATGTATATGTGAATACGTGTGTATGTATGTATATATGTGTGTGTATTTGTAAATTTAGGTAGATATATGTATATATATATATATATATCGATTCATGTGTATGGGATTGTATATATATTTGTATATATATATATATATATATTTTTACGGAATTACATATGTGGTGTATCTGAATATATGTATAAGATATAGTTGTATGCATATATATATATATATATATATATATATATATATATATATATATATATATGCGTGTATGTTTGTATAAATAGAGATTTAATGTAAAGATAGAAATTTCTTTATCTTCTAATTCTTGTATTCCTTCTAATCTTACTTCATCTTGAAATAATTTCTAATTAGACTCGAAAAATTAGAAATTGTACTCATCTGGAGATAATTTCAATTTAAATTGATCACTTAGATTTAAATTAAAAAATTTTACTCCTTAACCATTATTCATGATATTAAAAGTATTATATAAAGATTTTTTTAAAATTCTAAACACTTAATTCACTATCTAGCGTTAACTGTAAAATTTAAGAGAAAATTTAAATATGTATACAGATGGATGCGTGTGGATACCGATGTGTATCGATACATGGGTATGTGGTTATATATGTAATTGTACATTTATACGAATATATGTGTAGTTACGTAAATATGTATGTGGTGTGTGTATGTAAAAACAGTAAATTCTTTTATTATTACCTTCAAATCTTACTTCATCTTGATTTGAAATTTAAACTTTAATTAATATTTATTATCTAAAAATAACGTCAGATTAAATTGATGAATTAGACTCTAACTAAAAAAGAGTTTACCTTAACCATAATTCACCATATTAAAATATTACTATTAGTAATATTTTTATTTTTATATTTCTTTATTAATATAATATTCGGTTTACATTAAATCTCTAATTTATTTGTGGCGAAGTTAAATATTTAAAATACTATCAAGCATTAAATCTATTTTATTCTATTTTATTTGTGGAGTATTTTAACATTTAAATTATTATCAAACGTTAAAATCTGTGTTTTTCTAAATTGGCCAAACAGTAAGCTATACCACCCCTCCCCTTCCTTCAAAACCCCTACGTCCATCTCTTATTTCTTATCTCTTTGCTTCCCACCCTTGTTTCTTTATTCTTTTTTCTTTTTTCCATATCATTTCCGTTGAGTTGACCGACTAAATAGGTCAATGTTTGATCCTTATCCCGACTCCTCCTCAATATTAAGTATTGTAATAAAAATAAAAACAAAAAAATCCCCTCTCTAATTTCGACCATGTCTCTCACACTATCTCTCATAACCCTCTATGTCACCTTATATAAGCTTAATACTGCCCTTCACAAGTGTAAATATTAAA